AAAGAGTGTGCCTGTTTGTGTTGACTGGGATGTATGAGAGATGGTCCTGGAGGAGCAAACACACCCGTCCAACCGAGTCAACACTCATACTGCTCTCCCCTCACTATTCACTCCACTTTGACTTGACTTTCAAAAGCCAAGGATTCTCTCCCTCAAAGGAGATGCAGAGAAAAACAACAACACTGCAGCTGTCTATGCCAGAAAAGCAACATCTTGAAATAAAATTTCATCTTTCTCATGTTTTAGATCATTTTTTGCATAAAGTGCCTGCACAAAAACTGGAACATTTTCCCGGTAATATTACAGCAGTAATTCTTAAGTTTAATGCACCCCTGATCACTGTTTGACTGTCTGCAGGCACTAAGGAGGTGAACGCTACAGGAAAATCATTCACAGTGAGGAGTAGTCTCCAGTTTGAAGTGGACAGACGGGACGACAGTGTCGCCTACACCTGCAGCGTGGAGCATGTATCTCTGACCACCCCCTACATGACAACCGAGGTCCTGGAGGTCCACTGTGAGTGCAGTCATACACACCCGACAAAGCTGGATTAGGTGGAAGATTAGCATTGAGAAGAAATAGAAGGACTGAGATTACATTTATAACTGCAGGTTTAGCTTTGCATTTTCTCAGGATTAGTGTAGGGTTAGTTTGCAGGTAAGGGATTAGTACTAAAGCAGAACTGGGTATGGGATAGAGCTAAGAGCTGCCCAATGGGTGAAGAGCTAACTACTGTTGTAGTTTGTCAGTTTCAAAGCCTCTAACACACAGTACCATCATAGCATTGGATTTTTTTTTTTCACAGATGCTCCCCATCTGGAGATCACACATTCACTGATTATTCCACAGGAAGGGCAGTACTTCAAACTGGAGTGCGTTTCCATAGGCAACCCAATGTAAGTTAGCATTAATTTACAGTACATCTTAGTTTAGTAGTTGCTAACATGAAAACAGGCAGAAATTTGACTTGAAATGTGACTCTTCATTGCAGAATGTCATTTTACAAGAGTATTTCTGCTGTTTATTTCTTAGCATTTAAGAAATCACAAGCAGCAGGATAAAAATATAATTTTATCTGAAGCAATGTCTACGTTTTCTTTCCTAGACCTGAACCTGTGCTGTGGTCTAAAGATGGAGGAGAGCTGCCAGACATTGAGCGTATGATTGTGGAAGGCAGAGAACTAACCATCACGACGCTAAACAAAACAGACAATGGCACATATCGCTGTGAGGCCAGCAATCACCTGGGGACCAGCAGTGCTGAATATATACTTTTTGTATACGGTGGGTACTTCAGCAAAGGCTAGTCTGCAGCTTGCTAACTCAAAGGCGGTTTGTGTTCAGTGTAAAGACGCAAAGTCAGCATAACAACAAAGCAGTAACAGCCACCTACCTTAATACAGAAACATCACAAAGTTCAACATCTCTTGGAAATGCTGCATTTTTGTCAGATAATCTGCTGATCATAATGTTTAAGGGACACTTTAAATCTCAACTTTGTATGACACTTAGATTGTTGGGTAAACAACTGCTGTCATTAGTAACTGATTTGTATGAATATTAGCTGACACCGGCAACTTTGTGAAGGATAATCAAGTACAGACAATGAATGGGGATATAAGAAAACATGTATCTTGGTACTATCTGAAGCAGTCATTTCACTTTGAAATTATAATAAATCCTTCATCAGGTCAGTTAATTGACAATAAGTAATGCAGACCTGATGTTCAGTGTGATGGATGATTCAACTGAAGCAAGTTAAAATACTCAGCTACTTGATTTTGAAATGAAAGGAAACAAATGGAACCGTACAACAGAGAAACATATGGAAATCTCTAAGGTTTCATTACATGACAAATGGACAGCTCTTACATAGCACCTTTCAACCTTAGTGAGACAAAGAGCTTTACAGTTTGCCTACATTAGGGTTACAGGTTAAGTGTCCTGTTCAAGAGCACATTACACACATTAAGATTAAACCACCAACCCTGTGATTAAATGATAAACTGCTCTAGCTCCTGACCCACAACAGCATTTTGGTTAGCTAACTTGTTAGCTATGATGTAAAGTGCACTGTGCAGGATAACTCAGTTTATGTCCATGCACTGTACATGACGCTATACAGGTTTAGCTTTTGGACTCTTCCTGTAAGGAAACAGGGGAAAAAAGTGTTAAGGATGCAGAACTTAGCTTCAGAGTGCTGCCTGGAGGGGAGATAAGTTAATCCCAAGACAGTGGAGGGGCTGAGAGAATAAAGACAACACGGTGCGGGAAACGGATCATTAAGACCTCTGCTGCACGTTTATAACGTTTATCAAATACAGCCAAGTAAAAATACAAAAACCGAATTTTAAAATTGAACATGGATTTATCTGTTTCCATTTTTTGCCAATTAAACTGTCACACATGAGAATGCAGTTTGTTTGGGAGCGACTAATCACAACCCAGACACTGGACTTATTCAAGCTCACAAGCAGTTAGTGCACAGCAGCTTCTTTGTTCTGTTTTAAAGGCAGAGGCTTTTGGGGAGAGAAAGCCCTTCCTTGGGAAAAAAAAATGAAAGACGATGACACATTTGTCCTTTCAGCTTTTGTTATCTCAGTCTCTTCTTTCAGCAAGAACAGGAGAAGGATGTCAGGCTAGTCCATATAGTCCATATCATCCTGTTATATCTGGGTACCATGGGCTGGACCATAAGTTCAATCCTCATATTTCACAGCCAGCCAAGGTTTTTGCATTATGCCAAAGAAAAGCCACTCACATCTGTGGAACCTGGGTTGTTAAGAGTTACAGTATGTGCCAAGGAGCTGTTTCTTACTCTCTGTGAGATTACCTGAGGAAATAGCAAAACTGATAACCCTCAACAGCCCTCTCCCACTAAATACAAAGGTCCTGGCTACAAGGAAAGGATGAAAAATTGAGTCGAGCAAGTAAAAGATGTGTGAGACAGGCTCATTTCCACTGATGATGACAGTCATTCTTCAGAGCTACATTGTGTCTGGCCGAACACTTGCCGTGTCTCTTTGGATCATCTCAGCCTCTACGCCTAATTTGCTAATGACAGAGAAGCTGAGAAGCAATAAATGTCATCACTCCGCTGCAATTTATCATTGTCAGCAGTTATACTCCTTAATACACTGTATTAAATAAAGAGAGGAAACACTGTATATGATAATTACTTTGAGATGTTAGGGAGATGGTAACAGATAGTAGTTTGTGTGTGTCTGATTGTGAAGCTACACTCCAATCTTTTACCTTTTACACTTCACATTTCACTCATTTATTGAACATTTTCACCTCATCAAGCATGCTGCATGACATTGTGCATTATCTGTGCAATCTGTTTATCAGTCAGTGATCAATCACTTGAAAATTTAACAGATATAAGATGCTCAAGAAGCAGATGACTCATCCTTTTTCCCCCAGAGATATTTTCAAAACCATTTATGCAACTCTTGTGTCTTATCATTTGTGCAATTTACATTATTTTGAATGTATTCACTGAAGTAAAAGACTAGAATCAACACACGACTCCAGCCACGTGCAATAATTGATTTGTGCTGTTAAGTTTTCTCATGTTGAGCCTGTTCCCTAAGGAAAGGCTTGTTTTTGCTGCCCGTTGTTCCTGTTTTCATTTAGCAGATGCCATCACCTTAGCGCCTCCATCTCCAGCTCCCCTGCTTCTTTCTCTAGCCTCCATTCTTCCAGTCTGCTAATGCTGACATTCCCACTTCAAACATAAACAGTCACAGATGCGTTTGCAGGTACGCTTGCATCCCCTCCATGGCCCCGCCTCAATGCTCAGTGCACTCACAAACATGACACTGAACACAGAGTGGATGATTGATGAACTAACAACCAAGCTTTGAGCTAGAAAATAGCATTGTTTTACTGGATGAACTCAGTAGTGTGTTTAGTTCTTTCTCTCCTTTCTGCTTTATTTTTTTCACACATCAGTTTTACCTCACCAGGATTTTTGGCATGGTTGTTGATGCGTTTCATTATTGGTAGCTGACAATATGCAGACCTTGTAGAGTAAGTTGCAAATCATTATTGTTTGTGAACCATTGTGTAAATTATCATTTTTGTAGAAGCAGACAGTAGAAAACATGAGTGTTTACACTTTTCTTCGTGCTGAAAGTGCTTTGAGTATAACTTTGCAACACTGAGCCACAAGTAGAACATGCTAACAGTAGAAACCGGTTTATTGTGGTGATGGAGAAAACATAAAAGTTCATTCTATTTGGGAAGTGTTTCATTTTGATAATAAACCCACAAATATTAAAGGTGCCCTGGGGAGTTTTCTGGCAAATAAACAGAGGTTATGTTTGTATTCAGTGTTTCTCAGCAAACACAACTTTGTGTATGCTTGAGGTCAAGCAAACATTTTGGATGCATTTCCTTTCTCCTAAAATATTTGCAAAGCAGAATTTGTTTTAATATTTAAAACTGTGCATTGTTTACATCCATGTTTACTAGCTGACTGTCTTATTAACTGGCATTGTTGATCGGCGGAATAGCTTGGAGCAGACAGCAAGAATGTATAGCACAATGACTTTGTGCTTCTGCATGTGGATCCTTGTGCATGTGGATCCTTGAGTATGTGCAAAGTACAAACAAAGCAGGAGCTCAACAATAAAAACACTGCCTCGTAGCACTACTAGTGTCCACAGGGTACCTTTAAACTGTAAAGACTTGGCCTCTCATAGTAATGAAGGAAAAAAACACACAATAAAAGCCACAGTTTTACTGTTCCAAGCAACTTTGTCATTTGGTCACATTTTTACACTCTTACTAATCCTTGATCGTAGAATGGCCAGTATATGTTGTTGAATACCCTGGTGGATGTTTTAAAATAGTTAAAAAGTCCTAAAGAGGTTTTCTTGCCCTTAGTATTAAAGGGTTGATCTTCACAAAGTCCAAAAACATATGTTCTTGTTAACCTCTTGTGTTGTAGGCTGATAGTTTTGTTTCCATTTGCCCAGGTTTTGAGATATTTGCCACTAAGATTCGTGGTTCTACCCTAAAACAATGATGGTGAATGGAATTTAATTTGAAATAAAAAAAAACTACAGTAAAAGAATCTTAACAGTGACATAATCCTCAGACAAATTATTAGACAGATTAACCTGACTACATGTGTACAATATGTTTCTTTGTAAATTAAGGTGAAGTGACCCACTGAGGATGTACATTTACAGTTGGACATAAAAAGTTAGGTTCTTGTGCCCGTTCCCAGTCACCATTTACAGTAACTCCCGTTGAGCATGTATTTGGCTCTGACGGCAGGCTTCGCATTGCATCACTTCTGCATGCTGTCAAGTCCACAAGTAAAAACTAAAATCCAGCCCGTGCTGATTTCTCATGTTTCCTTTGAACTTTATGGTCACTTTTTTTATCACACTGTTGTTCCCCTCGTCTTCCCTTACTGCTGTCACTGTCTGCAACCATGGCAACAGCCAAAGACTTCCCAGGGCCTACAACAGGTAAATATCCCACTAGATTATCATTGCAAGCCAGATTAGTAGTGTGTGATGCTGGATCTGGATCTGGGTCAGGACACATTACGGACTCCACTCAGCATGAGTCAAATCATCATCATGCATGATGCTCCCTGACGCCAGCTGCTTCCTCTCTAGCCACATCACTGGCTGCATACGTCATCACACAATATGCTTCTGGTTTGGTTAGTCTCTGTACTAATGAAATAAATGGCTATATCTGAGTGGAGCTTGGCTGGAGACTGTATCTGGAGACATTTGATGTCAGATCATGTGATTACAGCAGAAATGGAAGGGAACATCCAAAATTCCTTATGTGAACTCTTTCACATTTCTGATGTCATAGTTTTTGAGAAATATGTCTGTTACCATATTTTTCTAAGTTCATTTATTTTAATCTACATGCATACAGTAGCAGAATGTAGTTGGAGCAATTTAGCATTAGCATAGTTAGCAAGTTGTGTTTATATTACAAGCTCAACTGCAGTGCAGCAAGAGGTATTCATTTCAGTCTCATTCTTGTGAACAGTGTAGACCAGCTGAATGTGGTCTAAACATTGCTTATGCTTCTTGTTGACAGTGGAATCATGTGTACAGATCATTATAACCATCAACATGTAACCAGAATTCAGTTAATTCAACTGTTGTACCAAAGTCTAACATGCCGTGGTGGTGCATGGAGTTAAATTAACTGCATGTATTCTTTTCTTTTTTGTTTTATGTTGGGTTGCTGAAAATTAGGGTTGCATTTCGTTAACAGAGGTCTATAACAAGGTTTATAAACACATCCTCACCTTCATTTCCCAGGGTCACTTTGCAAACCTTAGTACAAGCCATAGCAATTCATCAGCTTGTGATAATGAGAGCATGGGAGGTGAGGACACAGCCACTTACAGTTTATTACAGGACAGTCATAAAGGCATGCTCCTGAAACATTCTGCCTGGAGGTCTCCTCATGTTAAATAACACCTATTTAAAAGAAACAGTCCTGATCCTCAGCAGCAGAAAACACAAAAGCTATAGTGTATGTAGAGGCTTTGGCAAAAATCCCAAAACTAGAAGTCAGTGTTCCTGCAGCATGCTGCTGCTGCTAATGCCACATTTTTTTTAATTGTGTTGTGAATTACTTCCTTTATACAGTACCTCAGTTCAGGCACTTCCAAGCAGCAATGTCAAATTGCTTTAAATATGACAGAAACTCATTTGAGACTGTGGTGCTTTGTTTACAAATATAAATATTTTCATTGCTGTTAAATAATGCTGCATGAGTGTGCAGCATCTTGCATTTGCTAACATTATTTCTCCACTTTCCCCTCTGTCCCTCTCTTTCTGTGTGTCTTCTTTCAGATCCTAATGCTTTAGGACAACATGGACCTGACCACGCTTTAATCGGTGGTGTTGTTGCTGTAGTGGTCTTCATCACCTTGTGCTTGATAATAGTTCTTGGACGATATCTGGCCAGACATAAAGGTAAAATGGGTCACTGAGCACCCTTTAATAACAATATTCTTGCTTGTAGTATACGTCTAGGTGGATAACTTGCTGTGGTTCTGTATGCCTCCAGGGACATATCTAACACATGAGGCTAAAGGAGCAGAGGACGCCCCTGACGCGGACACAGCCATCATAAACGCTGAAGGAAACCATGTGCATGCAGAGGAAAAGAAAGAGTATTTCATTTAGACTTCTGTCACTCTTTTCCTACTTTTCATGACAACTTAGCAGACATGCAATTTTAAACTGCCTCAGTGTCACTACAAGACCTGTTTTGCTTTATTTATTATTCTTTTGTCTTCTTCAGAATACCCATTTTTGGATATGCTTGTTTTTAAAGCATTTGCTAACAATATGACCATCTTCTTTTACAATCAATGTACCCCATGTACAGTTCAGTTACTTCCATTTAAGTTTTATGGTGCCTAAATGCTGTATATTTTTCTGCATTTCTTTCATTGCTTCCATTAACCTGTTTTCTCTCTCCTATTTCACCTGTTATACAACTGTTTGCAGATTTTTTTAAAATTCAGAAGCAACCAGAAATGTGTTTTGATTCAGCCTAGAGTCGAGTCTTAGCTTTTCAAACTGTTTTGCTTTAAAAGCAGAATAGACTATGTTAAATCCATCAAGGTGTCAAGCATTAACATCAGAAGAATCTTTTTAGGGACTGTGGTCTTGGATGTTGCCTGGAGTTTACCCACCACATACTGCACATGTTTTTAAAATATCAAGAAACAGACCAGACACTTTGACAAAACAAAATGAAGAAGCACAATCGATGTGATTGTCTCTAGATGAAATCAACTCCCCTTTAGCACTGTCTGTATATTCCTGCATTAATTTAATTTCAGTTTTTGCTCACACTGTTGATTTGTACCAACAGAGGAGAAGTCAGAAAATTAAAGCACAAAGTCTGAGGACTATAACACAGAGGGAAAACACATCAACTGTTTCTTGTCTCAGGATTCAAATTGAGTCTAGATGGAGAGATGGTGTCAGACATGTGATGAAGATTTTAGTACACCTACAGTAATAGTCATGGATGATGAACTTAAATTTTGGTTAGTGATGTAAAATCCAAACTGAATGAGTGGAACCTTGTGGGGGTTCATTATTTATGTTGAATTTTATGGAACAACTATGCTCAATGGGTGGATATTGCTGTAAAATACTTTGCTAACGTGCATATTGGTGAACAATATTGTCAAATCTTGGAATCCCTGACACATTACAGTTTGTATATTAGCATATACAGTATTTAAAGTATTCTACAAGTCCTAATTTTTTCCATCTATCTAAGAAGAGGTTGTTTTGCCAGAAGGCATGTAAATAATGTGTAAGTATTCAATTTTAGTAAAAGGAAAAAACACTAGATTTAGCTCTTAATTTCAGGTCACATCAGTTGCCGTCACTTTGATGAGATTGTTTTAAAATTTTTGAAAGAAATTTCTTCACACAGGGATTCTCATGAATTGCTTTTAAAAAATCTGGTTAAAATATATGTATTTATGATTATGATTGATTGACATTTATTATATAATACTATATTGATTGATATTATTGCTGTTATTACAAAAGTAGTTGTCTGACATGAACTTTTCCATTTTTAAATTCTGTAACTTATCATAAAAACAATACAAGGATCACCGTTATGGCCTTTGAGTTTGCTGCAAACAGTACTAATGACATGTTGAGGCATTGGTGAATCAAACATCCCTTCACTGTAAATATTCACTGTATCAAAGACATTGAACCACATTGCCAATGCTCATACATGTTATTTTGTTAGTTCAGTATGATGCTATAAATAACTCATTTTGTACAAAGTTTTAATCGCTGTAATTAATTTGCTTTTTCTGGGGGATGTGTGAAGTTTGTTTTTTCTCAGTATTTAATATTCATTTTTCAACTATGCCACTGTAAAGAAAAAAGAGAGACAAAGTGCAGATTAAAATATGAACAACCTGAAAACTGACATTTTGCTGTGACTAGGTTTGTACTTTGCAACGCACCGTGGAGTAGTGCTTTGTGTTCATGAAATACAGATCTATAGCACAGTCATGATATCAGTTCAACATCTACTGCACAGTTAAATAAAAGGGAGCATGGGTTGATAGTCAGCATAGTGATCAAAGCTGCATGGTAACTGTTATTTATTGCAATTGTTGAGTAGTATTAATAGTATATGCAAACCTGTAGAAGGATTAAAAAACCATGAAGGTCCTCAGGAATATTGCCCGAGGCTCTCAGTTCTGCTCATGATTTGGGCATTAATAGAGGGTGACAAAAGGAAGACTTGAGTCTGCCTGAATTCTTTTCCTGTCCCACTGGAGCTGAGTTCAATATGCTTGAAATGGCTTTATGAAACTACCTGCAGATGTCAGCACAGCAGGCTGCTGTTGCTCTTGTTTGAACAAACTACAGTAGACAGAGGAAGCCGGCTGGGTAGGGAAAACAGAAGGTGAACCACTTCGGGAACTGACATCATGGTCAGGGATGTTGGGATGTAGCTGACAGCTTTAACTGGAAGTGAAATAGTAACATCTAAGATGAAACTTTATTGATCCCTATTGGGAAGTTTGAAAAGAAAATTGCAATAATGGGGGAAAAGAAAAAAGCAGTAAAAAAAATAGAGTTGAATCATTGTGGAGTTAAAAGTATGCAGATGTTCCCTTTGTATTGCTGTGAACTATGGAAGAGGCATGGAGCACTGAGTTATAGAATGGTACATGTATTACTATCATTTGTTGATGAATATTAGCTAGCATAAAAATAATGCGGTCTATACAAAACCACATAGTGTGATTATGACTGCACAGTGGATATATGAGGGACATATGGGAAAAATCAAAATGCAAGTATTTGAAGAACATGATGTGCATAATATTCATATTATCTAAACAAAGCCAAATGTATGGACATGAAGTGTAATGGTCTGTAGACTAGCACTGGAACAACTACACTTCATCTAACTTACATTTGATTCAAGCAATTGCTAATTGTAATATTTTCCATACAAGAGTGGCCTTGATGGCCATGTAAATTAAAGCCTAGCAATTTACAAAAATAAAAGAGAGCACCCTTTTATGGCCCATTATCAGTGCTTCACTGACACAGACGAACCTTTGGAAATTTGAGGATGGATCTAATAGCCCCATGCAGATTAAGGATGTCAAGATATTTAATATGAGCTGAGCAAAGGGAGATCTTGTTCCAGGACATGGGACCCGAGTCATTATGAACCTCCATTCTTCAGCTCCCATTGACCTTGAGCATAATGTTGCTTTCAAGCTAATGTTGCCATTATAAGCACACTGTCCGGCAAACCATCTGCCTGCTCACTCCCCCTCTCTTCTCTCAGAGATGGGTCCCAATGCTCACTTCATAATCATTACCACCAAAAGCCCAGCCTGTTCAAATAAACATCAGCTCCCACTATCATACTCCTTCACATTATTAAAAGCTCAGTGCTCCGTTGAATTATGTAAAGTGAGACTGTCTTGAATAATGCCTGGCAGAAAATAATGCTAACAATCTATCATAATTTAGTAATTGGATACTGAAGGGGGAAACACTCATGTACAATCGTAAACAGTGAGTTGGAAAATGGATTTTTCTCTTTACCCTTGAAATGTGAGAACCATACCCTGGGCAACATAACAATCACAGCATGACCTCTGAAGAGGCCTTGTAAGTCTTACTAAACCAAAGAAACTGATCCCCACTGTACCCTGCAGGCAGGGTCCATATCAGTCCTCCAGCTCACAATAAGCTCTTATCATAGCTGAACAGAAGTCTCTGACAAAGTCCTTCAGGGACAAATTGATATCTTAAAAAACATTATTACACTTAAACATGTTCAGTGTACAGCACAATTCTACAGTGTCAAATTCTTGAGCTAATAGTTAGTTACTTGGTATGGGACTGGATGCGCTACTTCATACGTTTTTGCCTTTTGTGTAGTCTCAACAGGAATTAAGTAGAAAAGTAAAGTTTTTTTTTAATACAGTAACCAGATTTTCATCTGGCAGTCCTGCTGTAGATTAGTGACAAGTGGAGGAGCCATAGCAAGACTGAGCATGAGCAGCCCTCCAACCCTGACACAAATAGTGGTTCTTCCTTTGGATTAACAGCACAAGGGTTTATGCAGAAATAGCAGTAATTCCACATCTTTTCACTATCTAAGTATGTAAATTGCAGTGTGTAATTCACTGGGCAATTTGCTAAGTAAGTAAAAGGATCAAAGGATTTCAAAGATGGAGCATGATTGCAAAGCAAATGCAAGTATGCTTAACAGAAGAGATGAAGAAATGTTTGTCCTCTTGGTCATGTTTTTAATTGCAGATTTAATAGGTATTAGTGATACTATGAAGTAGCCCAATGATTTGTCAATACTGTATTTACTGATAACATTAATCACAATATTCCCAACAGGGAAAAACACTCCGCTCTGTATGTGTGTGTGTTGTGTGTGTTTTTTTTTTTTAATATTGTCATCTTCCATATTGCCTACCAGGCAGGACAAATATTTTAGAAGTTTACTCGTAATCATTGCTCTGCACCCAAAGATGAGGTGCAACGAGCAGACAGTGGAAGATGAAATTCATAATTTTTCCAGTGTCCTCCTTTTCATTTTTGGAATTTTGTGTTTCGAGTCTGTTATCAGTCCCCCTAGAAGCCTGAGGTTGCATTATTTGGGTATATGGATTTGTCTTTGATTGACAGTTCATTCTAATAGAGAGTTGGGCAGAGTAATAACGGCATGCTACCTTGGAAAATGAGTCACTGGAGGAAAAAAATCTCATGATGCCAACTACAGGCACACTTCAGCAATATAAAGAATTATGTCCACAGCTAGACTGGCTAAACCTTACTTACTTTACTATATGTTCAAAAAGCAATTTTTATGTAAAGCTACAGGTGTAGCACAGCTGAGCCTCCTGTAGCCCCCTTTGACTTATATCTGTAACATTTACGCCTCATCTGTATTGTTGGTGAATCAGAGGGTATTATCTTGAGATGTGTTTTGCCTAATCATATCTGATGAGATTAAATAGATCATTCATACTTCCACTTGTGACAGGGCTGACTGGAAGTAAAGAGTTAAATGATCTGGAACAAAGAACATGAGCTTGTGTATCCCACTGGATGCATCACCATGCCATTAGTCTAGATGAATGTGTACAGTCAGATACAATTCCCTTGTTTGCTGCATGAGGGCTTCCACTCTTTGAGGTAGTGGTTCTGCTTTTCAAATCAGGCCACAGTGAATTGATGACTGAAACAGGGCTACCCAGTGTATTTTAAACTCATTCATCTACACTGCCTCACATTCTCTGTGCATCTCTAAATAGCCTGCCCTGGAATGTCTGTCTGCCATTTGATTTATTTTATATTGTATTTATAGATCTAATTAAACAAATGCTTCTGTATTGTTTTGCTGAATTTTGAACCATGCGAACACAGGAGAGTACATAAAGGGAAGCCTTGTCTTGGGTAGTCTTCTGGGGAAAAAAGCTAGTACCTGTGGCATAAGGTATGCAATAAATAACATGCCATCTGTTTGGGTTTGAGCACTTGAGATTCTTCCAAGGAACTCACCAGGGACTTAATTAAAGCTGGAATATTAGTGAGTGGAAGACTGATGTTCCTCCAGTAAAATGACAGCTATAGAAAATCTTAGCAGTAGTTTGATAACAGAGATGAAATTAAAGTGTTTATCCTTAGAAATTACTGTAATTTATCATTTTGATGTTTTTTTCCCAATGATGATTTGGTAGCCATTAAGTCTATTAAGGTTCTGTAAGTTTTTAAATGATGTTTTCCATTTATCCTGGTGGGGACTGCTATTTACAACTAATGCGCTTCTAATGGAAACACCGGAAATGATGTATAGTCACACAGGAAATATGTTGTTGAGTATGCAAGAAACATGCTAGTGGCTAAATGGATAATAAGCCATTTAATGAGTGTAAAACAAGCCGCTATTTTTAGGAAAGATAGTGTGCCACTAAATCATTGTACCTCCCTTGCCTGGGAAATTAACGACCTGGTGCTTGTAGTTTGGGTTCTTACCCCAGGTGATGTGGCACCTTACAGTCTATGAGGTCCCACTTTCAACTGTGGAAAAATTGGAAAGAGGAATCACAGGCTACATCAAAAAATGGCTTGGAGTTCCACGATGCTTTATATGGATGGTATCCTCGAGCTGCCCCTCACCAGTCCCACAAAGGAGTTCATGTGTGCAAATTAAGGCTCCAGATGACACTATTGATGAGTAATAATGCATCAACCCTGGCAGCTGAAGACCGGCCAAAGCACTGGAGGAGGCAACAGCAGCTCTCAGATATGTGGACATTATGGCATATGTTCAGCAAGGAAGAGGAGGTTTTTGTTTAACAGCTAGCCACCCAGCTTGGTATAAGGCCACAGTACTAGAACTAATAAAGATGGTGGTGGAAGAAATGCTTCATCAAGAAGAGGTTGCAAGGTGGGCTAAGGTGATCTCCATTGGCAACCAGTAGGGCAATGGACACTATATGACAGTATAGAGAGGAGGGGGATTAGCTGGAAGGATGGGCATATTTGATATCCCCCCCAGCACCAATTAATCACCATCAATGGCTAGGTGAAGATCATGGGTGTACCCTGTGGTCCATGCCTTCCTCCCTCAGAGTTAGCCTTACCCAAGACCCTTTCCTCCACCATGGAAAACAAATGATCTGCCACCAACTCCTTATCACCAGCAGTCTCTAACCCCCATGAACAATTACATTTGTTTTATAAAGGGGTTAAGGTCATCAACAGCAGCTCCATGCTATTAGAGAGATGCCAGCTGTGATCAGCCTCAGAAGGAGAAGATGTTGGTAGACACTGGTTGGCAACTCGTATTCCCTCCAGAAATTGCTACAAATGCCTGAAGGCTGATTTAGTGCTCTGG